CAATAGAGAAATACATCTGGTTGGAATGGAGGAAGCTTCAACTTAAAGAGAGGGAACAGGACTAAAAGCAATGTCTTGCCAACAGTAGTTTAAGCACTGGCGACAGGAACTTCGACAAGCATTCACTCTACACTCGTCCACAATGCAGAGACCAAATTCATACATCTCATTACATAAGCTGGAATTCGTCGATGAAACAGAAAGGCTAGAGAAACAGATGATGGCATTATTTTGAAATTCTGCAGCACAATTGCAAGATGGGAAAAACCGTTTCGACAAAATATGAGTCGTCGATATGGAGTGCAGACACCTGAGTAGAGTCGATGCGATGCACGCTACTGAGAATCGAGATAATGATGTGAATTTGGCATTAGTACCGCCAGTCAGGAAAGGCACTAAAAGAAGTGCGATAACAGAAATGCACTGTAACACACAATCATTTGACGAAAGAGACAATGAGGTGAACCAGTAAGCCGAAATGTGTGTTAATAGTAGCCAATAAAGTGAGGGATTCTAAGAAAGAGAGAATTTTTAGGCAATGCGTTTGTAGTTCAAAGAAGCATCAGCTCGGAATAGATTGACTTTGTAAGCCAAGGCATTCCTAATTAAGCGTGAGAGGGTGCAAAGGATTTATTAAAAATAGAAATTTGAAACGGTGTAGGCAAATTCTAGAGAAAAGACCGGCAAAAGAGGCGAATTTAGCGCGAAAATATGGAGTTTGATAATTTTGATGGCAGACGTGTGACAATGTTAATATCAGTGCGCAGTAATCACACAAGAAAGACTACAAGGTATTGCCCAATTCTTTTTTTATATGTATTTTTCCACTCACTCCACCTGGAGTTATCTAACTGCCACCATCAGTGTTTTGATGTTGACAAGCGCGATCATTTCCGACCGTCTACTATGTAAGCGTCTCTGTTATACACTTTTGGGATGAAAACACAACAGATGTAAAGTAAGTGAGTTAATATTGTGCTATTCAAGAGTGCTGATAAGCCTTTGCCTGTGCTATCATCAACGTACAGCACTCACTCACGCAAGTTCACCAAATATTGTTTAATTCTCTTAATACATGTTGCACCACATTCTTTGAAACATACTAATTACATCTCTCTGAGTCTCTCTACCTCTGGATTTCTAGCTACTTACTTCGTGCTGTTGCCTTTGACAAGCGCAATCAATCCCAACTGTTCACTGTGCACTCATCGCCATCTCTTACTTGTGGGGACAGGAACACGGCAGATGTGAAGAGAGAGAGTAAATGTGGCACTACCTGTTATGGACATTTACACAAAATGGTCCAATATTGCCCCAATCTATATTTACATGTGCCTCCCTATTCTTATAAACATTGTCCATCCTAAATGCAACTCTCAGCCTCTGCCTACATTTGGACATGTAGTAGCCACTCCCTCGGTTTCGCCGTTGACGACTGCAAATACCTGCTACTGCCCACGGCGTACACGTCTTTATTTTTCACATCTAGAGGTGACACTATGGCAGATAGGAAGTGAGTGATTGAATGTGAATGGACATAACAGTACAGTTGTGAACAAAAGCACTCACTCATATAAAATCGCCAAATGTTACCCAATTTTCATATTTACCCGCCTCCCAATACTTTGAAACATTCTCCATTTCAATTGCATATCCGTGATGCGCAATCAAGCAATAACCCGACTGTGTACGCATCTCTATCAGTCATTTCGGCTACGGGACCGCAGAGGATGTGAAGTCAGTGAGTGGACGTGACGTTATCTATCAATACTGGTAGGTATTTTTCAATACTGTTATCAACGCACCACACTTGCTCATTTGAGGTCACCTTGAAATGCTCAGTAAGGTTTTTACTTTTGCTTCCTCATTACCTCAATTACAGCCCACTCCACCTCTCTTTTTATCATCCCTCTTAATCCATATTTCTTGAAATGTTTTTTAGTCTCGGCATTTCTAGCCTATTTTTGCATTTGAAAGCGTGTTTGATTCCATTGTTTTCTTCTTTTGATGACATGAATGGAGGCGATATTTGGTCACTGAGCATTCGTGGTGCTACCTAACGATACTGAGAGATATTTCCCATTTCTTTAGTCAACGCATCACTCTCACTCACATTGAGCCGCCAAACATTGTCCCGTTTGTACATTAGTCTCCTCATTCTTTCAACACTCGTCCACAATGCAGAGACCAAATTCATACATCTCATTACATAAGCTGGAATTCGTCGATGAAACAGAAAGGCTAGAGAAACAGATGATGGCATTATTTTGAAATTCTGCAGCACAATTGCAAGATGGGAAAAACCGTTTCGACAAAATATGAGTCGTCGATATGGAGTGCAGACACCTGAGTAGAGTCGATGCGATGCACGCTACTGAGAATCGAGATAATGATGTGAATTTGGCATTAGTACCGCCAGTCAGGAAAGGCACTAAAAGAAGTGCGATAACAGAAATGCACTGTAACACACAATCATTTGACGAAAGAGACAATGAGGTGAACCAGTAAGCCGAAATGTGTGTTAATAGTAGCCAATAAAGTGAGGGATTCTAAGAAAGAGAGAATTTTTAGGCAATGCGTTTGTAGTTCAAAGAAGCATCAGCTCGGAATAGATTGACTTTGTAAGCCAAGGCATTCCTAATTAAGCGTGAGAGGGTGCAAAGGATTTATTAAAAATAGAAATTTGAAACGGTGTAGGCAAATTCTAGAGAAAAGACCGGCAAAAGAGGCGAATTTAGCGCGAAAATATGGAGTTTGATAATTTTGATGGCAGACGTGTGACAATGTTAATATCAGTGCGCAGTAATCACACAAGAAAGACTACAAGGTATTGCCCAATTCTTTTTTTATATGTATTTTTCCACTCACTCCACCTGGAGTTATCTAACTGCCACCATCAGTGTTTTGATGTTGACAAGCGCGATCATTTCCGACCGTCTACTATGTAAGCGTCTCTGTTATACACTTTTGGGATGAAAACACAACAGATGTAAAGTAAGTGAGTTAATATTGTGCTATTCAAGAGTGCTGATAAGCCTTTGCCTGTGCTATCATCAACGTACAGCACTCACTCACGCAAGTTCACCAAATATTGTTTAATTCTCTTAATACATGTTGCACCACATTCTTTGAAACATACTAATTACATCTCTCTGAGTCTCTCTACCTCTGGATTTCTAGCTACTTACTTCGTGCTGTTGCCTTTGACAAGCGCAATCAATCCCAACTGTTCACTGTGCACTCATCGCCATCTCTTACTTGTGGGGACAGGAACACGGCAGATGTGAAGAGAGAGAGTAAATGTGGCACTACCTGTTATGGACATTTACACAAAATGGTCCAATATTGCCCCAATCTATATTTACATGTGCCTCCCTATTCTTATAAACATTGTCCATCCTAAATGCAACTCTCAGCCTCTGCCTACATTTGGACATGTAGTAGCCACTCCCTCGGTTTCGCCGTTGACGACTGCAAATACCTGCTACTGCCCACGGCGTACACGTCTTTATTTTTCACATCTAGAGGTGACACTATGGCAGATAGGAAGTGAGTGATTGAATGTGAATGGACATAACAGTACAGTTGTGAACAAAAGCACTCACTCATATAAAATCGCCAAATGTTACCCAATTTTCATATTTACCCGCCTCCCAATACTTTGAAACATTCTCCATTTCAATTGCATATCCGTGATGCGCAATCAAGCAATAACCCGACTGTGTACGCATCTCTATCAGTCATTTCGGCTACGGGACCGCAGAGGATGTGAAGTCAGTGAGTGGACGTGACGTTATCTATCAATACTGGTAGGTATTTTTCAATACTGTTATCAACGCACCACACTTGCTCATTTGAGGTCACCTTGAAATGCTCAGTAAGGTTTTTACTTTTGCTTCCTCATTACCTCAATTACAGCCCACTCCACCTCTCTTTTTATCATCCCTCTTAATCCATATTTCTTGAAATGTTTTTTAGTCTCGGCATTTCTAGCCTATTTTTGCATTTGAAAGCGTGTTTGATTCCATTGTTTTCTTCTTTTGATGACATGAATGGAGGCGATATTTGGTCACTGAGCATTCGTGGTGCTACCTAACGATACTGAGAGATATTTCCCATTTCTTTAGTCAACGCATCACTCTCACTCACATTGAGCCGCCAAACATTGTCCCGTTTGTACATTAGTCTCCTCATTCTTTCAA